TGGAAGGCAGCATGGAATTGTATGAGATATTTATTAATAATTTCAGTAGGAGTTAGAGCCATGAGCCTGAAGAGCTTTTGACAAATGGTGTATGCAGTAGAGGTAGAAGAAAAGTTAAATGCAAGTAATTTGAGAAATAGCTGATCAAGCTATAGAAGTTGCACCTAATCCTAGAGCAGATACTGTAGCGGCACATCAGTCTGAAGCCAAGCTCAGTGTACTATAAAGCAGTTGTGTCTATACAGTAATCCTGATTCCTTGTTTCTTAGACTTGTCTTCCTGCTTTCCAGCTAAAAGCACTGAGGCAGATCCAAAGTGCGAAGGCAGTACATGTTCCTCTGGCAGATCTTTCAGTGGTGTCTGTTCTAGCAACTACTGGTCCATCTCCAGGAGTAGCAACACTCCCTTCTCCTCCTGAGAGCTCTTCTGCTGAAATTAATGATCTTCTTAGGGAGCCACAGAAAGTACCAGGTAAGAGAAATCTCACTTGGAAGCAGTCTTTTTCAAAATGAATTCACCTTCCAAACTTTAACACATAATTGTATGTGTGTTATAAATATTTGGGAAAATAGTAATAAATGTTATTTTCTTCCAATTTATATTTATACATTTTATTCTGATGTTTTTATGATGGCAGGGATGGCTTTGTTCACTACTGGAAGTAGATTTACCAAATCCAGATTGAAACTACATTTTACATCACTAATTTTTGTTTAGATTAAAAGGTAATGTGAACAGTTGGACATTTTAATTATATGTTTAGAAGACTGGGAATTTTTGTTGCGTGTTGTTTTACTGTTGTCTTGCAGAAGCTCAGATAGTGGATGGAGAGGTCCAACGGTGTCTAAACTATACACATCAAGCGGCTGAGCAACAAAGCACCATCCATTCCCAGATTGCTCAAGGAGAACCTATTGTGTAACACAGGTAAATAGCCTTCTTTGCTGTATCTTGGACAGATGTTCTTTAGAGAGATGGGCAATGCAGCAAACTTGTTCGGTGGCATTGCGTTGGATCAAGCGTCATAAAGTCGAAACTGATGTCAAAGTCGAAACAGAGTGTCAATTTGTACGCCTAAGTGCTGTTCATTGCAACTCAAAACATCTTAAGTCGAGGACTGCCTGTTAATAAAAACAGGATATAAGGGCCATTATCAAGTAGCCAACAGGCAGGACAGATGCAGTAAAAACCTGACAATTGAAGAACAAGCTTGTTCTGGAGATTATCACCTGTGAAGTACAGAGATTAGTAAATCAGAGATTAGAACGAAGCATGAAGTCATTGTCCTTGTTAAATCCTTGGTACTTAGTGTCTAATAAACTGAGAATTTGTTCCCATGCCGGTCTTTCAAAGATTCATAGATTCATAGTTTTCTGACATTCTTGGATAACTGGTACCCTATGAATGCAAAATATTATAGTCCTTAATTCAGAGACATCACCTCATGCCTATGTCTCAATGCCAAACTGAGGTACAGAGAAGTTGAGCAACTTTCTCAAATGACCCAGTAATCGGGATCAGGTCCTGAGAATAATAATGTCTATTTCTCTTAACCTAGGGTCCAGGTCTGGAACGTTCAGACAGTGTCTGTGTTTTCTCTGGCGCACCTGCCATCTGTTCTCATTTTTGTTTCAAATGCTCGACTGCAGAATTTACAACTGGGTAGTAACCTCTTCTAAAATTTAGGTTCAGCTTTGGCCACGCAATAGCCCAGTCAGCAGATGCTGATGAGCAGGCTCATGAGACTTCTGCAGCAGTGGCTCCATGTCAGGCGATCCTGGTGAAATTAGTACAGAAGCAAGGTCTGCTAACAATATGTTTTCAATCACAGACCCAGGTGTGTGGTGTCCAGCAAATCTGAAGACAAAAATCAGCAACTAAAAGTTGATATGAGGATCCCTACATTGAGACTGAGATGAATGCATCCATGAAAATGTTATTAAACTACTGTTTAAATTAAACTTGAGTAGAGAGGTACAAGGTTGTATGCGTGTGTTAAACTAGGACAATGACGGCAGCACGCCACGCAGCGTTTGCCATGTATGTTAAGCATGAGTACTTCTTTTCAAAGGGCAATCTTAAAACCTAATGAGATCTGACTGCTGTAAAATGCACTCCAACTTTGGAAAGATATTAATGGAAATTTTAATGAGAAAAGGGGTAGTGAAAAGGAAAGGTGCTCTGCCCTGAAAGGTAATGACCATTCTGTGGTGTTGTATCCTCAGCATTAAACAGTGACAAAAGCTGATCAACTTGTTCATTCTGGTGCTGGGCTGTTGTTGCCATGGCGATGCCTGACAATAGCCTGTTAACCCTTTCAGCAGAACTGCCTTTCCTCAACAGCTACAACCCAAAACCCATTGGTGATGCTTGGGGGGGGGGCACGGGCACCCCCTGAGCGTGGCAGTGCACTCCCTGCAAAAAAGCACTGCTACCGCTGTCAGCAGTGTCTGTGTGCGGTTGCCACCTCCCTCCCCCTGCCACCGCCACCACTGTGGCCACCTGCAGGAACTCCGCTTGCCACCACCATGCTCCTGCCATTGACAGTGGTGCTGCAGCCGCCTGTGGGAGCTCGCTGTGCCCCCCCCAGCCTCCAGGGGCATGCAACGTTTATGCCAAACCCCAGTCTCCTTTGTGGAGTGACCGGGATGGGACAGTTGTCGGCATGCTCTGGATGCAGGCAGCTGCTCTGGAGCAGACGGCAGCAAAATGAAAACAACAGCTGTGCGACCCCCACCCCCCCTTGCTTTTTTTGGAGTGTTGCTTGAAATAACCCTGTGCCCCTAAAGCAGGAGGGGTGGAAGTGACAATAAAGTGGGCTGTTTTCATCAAGGCAATCAGGACCCATAGTATAGATGATCTCTTTTATTAGACCAACAAGATTTTTTGCCAAAAAAAAAAAGTTCATGGAAATTTTTTTTGTAAAAATCTTGTTGCTCTAATAAAAGATCTTTCTATTAACAAGATTTTTGCAAAAATAATTTGAGAATTTTTTTTTTTTTTTTTGCAAAAATATTGTGAGAGTAGTGATGATCTTCTATTGGACCACCAAGAAACTTTTTCCATTAAAGAATTTTTTTTGGCAAAAGTCTGGTTGGTCTAATAAAAGAGATCATCTGTACTACGAGTCCTGATTTGCCGTTTCCTCTAGCCTTATCCGCCTACAGCGTGGACCCCTGGCTACAGCAACGCTGCTTTTCCTGCGCTGGGGTAGGACTCCCGCTCCCCACCCACCAGGTGCTCCAGCTCGTGCCCTCCCGCAGCAGGCCTAGCCCAGCAGGCAGCGCATGCGCAGTGCCAACCACACTTCCCTACCCGTTCCCCGCCCTCGACGCAGGCGCACTGCTGACCCTCCCCCCTGCTCCGCTAGTACGCAGGCGCGGGCCGAGCCGCTGGGGGAGCAGAGTGGCCTTCGCGATTTGGCCCCTGCCGGCGGCTGTAGCGGACGCTGCGCTCCTCCCCCGGTCGCGCCGCAGCTTCCTGTGAGGAGCGAATGGAAAGTCCGGCCCGGGGCTGCGGTGAGTGGGGTCGGGCCGGGCCGGGCCGGGCCGCACCGGGCGGAGCGGGGCGCGCAAGGGGCCGT